TTTGTGAGGTACCTAGAAGGTAGTGATTAAGACTTGCTGGTCAGGTGAGGCAGTGGAAGAAGATGGGAAGGCTGTTTCCCGAAATGCATAGCCTTCCAGTAAGGCAGGGACTCTGAAGGAGCTGGGACCAAGGGCGGGACACAGATAAGGAGTTCAGTAGAGGAAGAGGTTTCTTTCAAGGCTGCAGACTGTTACAGTCTTAGAAGATATGGCAGGCTTAAGAGTGACACCAAAAATATCCAGCTCTGAACCCTAAAGCTTATGCGACTTTGTCTGGCCAAAGAAATTTGTCAGATGTTATTAAATGAAGGATTTTGAAATGAGATTATTATCCAAGATTATCTGTGTGGGCACGAAATGCAATCACAAATATGCTTCTAGAATGCAGACTGAGGGAGATCTGACCACAAAGAGGGAGGTAATAGGACAAAGAGGCTAGATGCCTTTGAAGATGGGGGAAGTTGACCACAGGCCAAAGAATGAAAGGAATGCAATTCTAGAAGCTGGAAAAGGTAAGGGAAATGTATGTCCCTCTAGGGCCTCTGGGGGGAGCACCACCCAGATACTTTGGTTTCAGCCCAGTTGAACTTTTCAGATTTCTGGCCTCTAAGTTTAGAAGAGAATAAATGTACACTATGAGTCTGTCCTTCTTTCTCTTTTTTTCTCTTTCTTTCTTTCTTTCTTTCTTTCTTTCTTTCTACTCTTTCTTTCTTTCCTTTTCTTTCTCTTCCTTCCTTTGTCTTCCTTCCTTCCTTCCTTCCTCTCTCTCTTTCTCTTTCTCCCTTCCTTTCTTCCTTCCTTTCCTTTTCCTTCCCTTCCTTCCTTCCTTCCTTCCTTCCTTCCTTCCTTCCTTCCTTCCTTCCTCCCTCCCTCCCTCCCTCTCTTCCTTCCTTCCTTCCTTCCTTCCTTCCTTCCTTCCTTTGTCTTCCTTCCTTCCTTCCTTCCTTTTTTTTTTTTTTTTGCTTTTTGGGTCACACCCGGTGATGCTCAGGGATTGCTCCTGGCTCTGCACTCAGAAATTACTCCTGGCGATGCTCGGAGGACAATATGGGATGCTGGGCATCAAACCCGGGTCGGCTGCGTGCAAGGCAAATGTCCTACCCGCTGTGCTATTGCTCCAATCCCTCTTTCTTTTTTTCTTTTTCTTTTTTGAATTTTTATTAGTGAAACAGCATGAGGTACAGTTGTAGACTTACAAATTTTTGTGCTTGGGTTTCAATTATACAATGATCAAGTACCCATCCCTTCACCAGTGTCCATTTTTCACCACCACAGATCCCAGTATCCCTCCCACCCCACAACCCCCTGTCCCACCTTGCCTCTGTGGCAGGGCATTCCCTTTTGTTCCCTCTCTCCTTTTGGGTGCTGTGGTTTTCAAAAGAGACATGAGTGACAATCATGTTTGGTCTATAGTCTACTTTCAGCATGCTTCTCCCATCCTGGGACGGTCCTCCCAACACCCTTTCTTTGGTGCTCCCTTCTCTATCTGAGCTGCCTTTTCCCCTAGCATGGGTGGCTGGCCTCCAAGCCATGGAGTAAACCTCCTGGTACTTATCTCAGCTATTCTTGGGTGTTAGTCTCCTATTTTGTTTCTCTATGTTCCCCAGATGAATGCAATCTTTCTATGTCTGTCCCTTTCTTTCTGATTCATTTTGCTTAACATACTTTCCATGTAGTACCACTTGTATGTAAATTTCATGACTTCATCTTTTCTAACAGCTAAATACTACTCCATTGTGTAGATGTACCAAAGTTTCTTTAACCAGTCATCTGTTCTCAGGCACTCAGGTTTTTTCCAGATTCTGGCTATTGTAAACAGTGCTGCAATGACCAGACAACTGCAGATGTCGCTTCGACTATACTTTTTTGCCTCTCCGGGGTATATTCCCAGGAGTGGTATTGCTGGGTCAAATGGGAGCTCAATTTCTAGTTTTTTAAGAATCGTCCATACTGTTTTCCAAAAGGGCTGAACCAGTCGGCATTCCCACCAGCAGTGAAGGAGGGTCCCTTTCTCGCCACATCCGCGTCAGCACTGGTTGCTTTTGTTCTTTTGGGTGTTGGTTTTCTTTCTTTCTTTTTTCTTTCTTTCTTCCTTTCTTTCTTTCTTTCTTTCTTTCTTTCTTTCTTTCTTTCTTTCTTTCTTTCGTGGTGGTGGTGGGGACACATCTGGCAGTGCTCACAACTTACTCCTGGCTCTACACTCAGGCATCACTCCTCAAACGCAGGTTAACTGCATGCAAGGCAAGTGCCTAACCACTGTACTATTGACCCTAACGTGTTTTATTTTGTGTGTGTTTCTTAATTTTTAATTTTTTTAATGTTTCATTTTTAAGCCACCAAGGTTGCTGTGATTTGTCACAGCAGCAGGAGGAAACAACTGTAGGAGCTACCAACATTAATAGTGATAAAGAAGCTGATGGGGTTGGGTACAAGTGTCCAGGAAGTTGGATACAATGAAAAGAGCAGGATCTCTAGCAGAGAGCTCCCAAATTACCTGACATTGAAGAGGAAAGATGTCTCCCCAAGAATCCTGAGCAGGAGCAGTAGGAGAGTCCACCAAGGAAAACAGTCATACCAGAATTCAAGGGAAAATGTACTTAGCCTTGCCAGAAACTTCAAAGGCAAATACATCCCCTGTTGCACTTTAGAGAAAAATCCTAGTTGACCTTGGAATAACTTTTGGGACTAGTCTGAGCTGAAAAGAGATTGAACTGTGCTTTGTTGTTTTGTTTTTATTTATTTATTTTTTTTGTTCACGGGCTGGAGCCATAGCACAGCGGTAGAGTGTTTGCCTTGCGCGCAACCAGCCTGGCCGAGCCAGGTTCAATTCCTCCGCCCCTCTCGGAGAGCCCGGCAAGCTACCCAGAGTATCTCGCCCACATGGCAAAGCCTGGCAAGCTACCTGTGGCGTATTCAATGTGCCAAACACAGTAACAACAAGTCTCAAAAAAATGGAGACGTTACTGGGCCTGCTCGAGCAAATCAGTGAATGATGGGAGGATAGTGTTTGTTTGTTTTGTTCACACCTACTATATTCAGGGCCTACTTCTGGTTCTGTAATCAGGGATCACTCCTGGCAGTGCTTTGGGGGACCATAAGTAATTCCAGGGATGGAATCTAGGTCAGCTACGTGTAAAACAAACTCCTTAGTGATGTACTATCTACCCAGCCCCTGGAGTGGACTCAAGTGTGAATGAGGGACGAACCAGGGTTATATCTCACAGCATATTCATCCTGAAACTCCACTGGATTGTACACATTTTCCAGTGTTTGATTTTATTACATAAGTAGTATATGTTGATTACAAAGAGTTAGAGTACACAGAAAAAGGAAAATATTACTTATAATATTCTCTGCTAGAAATATTTTAGTGTAAAACTTTGCAGTTTTTTTCTATGAAAACTATATGATCTGGTCAATCATTCTATGGGTAAAGTACCATTATCTCTTCTTAAAAGGAGAAATTTCAGGCTTAGAGAAACAATTTACTAGCTGCACATAGCAGGTCAATAGCAATACATTAGAATTAGAATTTTGGTTTAACTCCAGAGTCAATGTGCTTTATCATGGTGCTACACTATTTAAAAAAATTTTTTTAACTGGAAATGAACTTTTTCCAGATAACCTCCCTAAGTAAGCTGGAGTGAATTTCTATAGGGGAACCCCATCCCACATCTACCCACGAGGATAGTAGGTTTCCAAGAGGGAAAGATAAGTGGGTGGGGAGAATGACCTTCTTCAGAACAGTGGTGGTTGTAGCAGGAAAGGTTATTGATTTTTTTAATTTTGTTTTGTTTTTGGATCACACCCATTGAAGCTCAGGGCTTACTCAGGGTTCTGTGCTCCGTGATCACTCCTGGAAGTGGTCTAGGGATCATATGGAGTGCTGGGGATTGAACCATGGTCAGCTATGTGCTAGACAAGCCCCCTACCTGGAGTACCGTCTCTCCAGCCCTGTTTTTTTTCCCCTGAAACATCACATCCAAGTGGACTTCTGACTTCCCATTTTGCAGATAAAGAAACCGAAGTTTCAAGATGTGTAGTGCCTACGTGATGGCTCCACAGGCGGGAACGCAACCTTTGCATTCGTGAGCCCCCAAATTAAACTGGCACAGCGTGATTTCCCCATCTCTGCAAGCGAGCGATTGGGCTCATGCACCAGTCGGGAATAGGCACCAGTACCTCCAGGTACGGAAGGAACAACAAAATGGATGCAATTTTCCCCAAATCACGGAAGACTATGTCCGTTGGTGGTGCAAGGGGCGGAGGATAGGGGCAAGGATCGGGTTAGCGCCCAAGCCAGTCAGTAGAGGCTGAGGGCGGGGTGGGGAGCGAGCGAGAGATGGGGCATTTGGGCTAAACTTGGCACAGACTGGCAAGCCTGCGTGGAGAGACACCAACTGAGAGAGTCAAATGGAAACGGCTCTGGGTAGAAGAGAAAGGGGCACACCCCCTCAGGAGGGGACTGGGATGGGGCACTCAGGCAGTGGGAGGGAGCCAGACTTGAGAGCCCTGGGAGCGGGGTCGAAGCAGCTGAGACTGGAAGGCCAGTGCCGAGTGGGAGGCGGGGTAGCAAAGGGCGGGACTTGTAGGCCGCAGGGCCCGGGGGCGGGGATTAGGAGTAAAAGGCGGGGCTTCGGGACAGGGGCTGGGCTCTCAGTGGCCGGGGGACCTGGGGCGGGGCCTAAAGACAGAAGGCGGGGCATCGAGAAAGGGGCTGGGCTCTCAGGGGCCGGGCGACCTGGGGGCGGGGCCCAGAGGCAGGGGGCGGGGCATCGAGACAGGGGGGGCTGAGCTCTCAAGGGGCCGGGCGACCTGGGGGCGGGGCCCAGAGGCAGGGGGCGGGGCATCGAGGCAGGGGCTGAACTCTCAAGGGGCCGGGAGACCTGGGGGCGGGGCCCAGAGGCAGGGGGCGGGGCATCGAGACAGGGGCTGGGCTCTCCCGGGCTGGAGGCCTGGGGGCGGGGCGGAGGAGCTGTTGGGACCGGGAAGCTGTGGGCTCTGAGGCGGCGAGCGGACGCCGCTGTGACGGGCGAGGACAGTCGGGGGCGGGGCGGCGCGGAGGGGCGGGGCTGCGGAGGTCGGGACGGTGCGCCGGGAGGCAGAGACTTGCCCAGCGCGGTGCTGCCGAGCGCCCCTCGCCCAGCTCCCGCAGCTCCGGCGCCCTCGCCCCGCGCCCGCCATGCCCGAGCAGCTCAGCGTCGCCGAGTTCCTGGCCGTCACCACCGAGGACCTCAGCTCCCCGGCCGGGGCCGCCGCCTTCGCCGCCAAGATGCCCCGGTGTCGGGGGGCGGCGCTGGCGCGGGAGGAGGTGAGGGCGTCGAGGCGGGAGGAGTCGGGGGTCGGGTCGGGGCTTCTCTCTGACCTTCCCAGCCTGACCCGAACTGCCAAGGTCCTTACCGCCTCCACAGGAATGTGCCTCTCCCCTGGATCGGTGATAACCGACTGCATCTCAGACTTCTGCGTCCCTCGCGTCGCGGTCGGGAGGGCGGGGAGAGGGACTCGTGGTCACTGCGGTGGCAGATTTCACAGGTCGGGAGCAGTCCCCACTCCTTCACCCACTCACCCATGCTCTTGGTGACCCGTGCAGTCCAGGTGTAAGCTCAGAGACCTACTGCGTCTGCTTGGGCTTTCGCGCTCGGAAATTTACAACTTTGTCCCCCAAATGATTCTCCTCCGAGGTCCTCTCCGCCTCAGTCCTGAACTTTCTTTGCCCAGACTGCAGGGAGACCCCTTCCCTTGGCTGCTGCTCGTGAGATCTGGCCGTGTTTGTGGAATGAACGCGAGCGGGAAGGTGCCAGGAGCCAGGTTCACCTTGGCCAGGGCAAGTTTGTACTCACTGCTCTCCTCCCCTCTCCTCTTTGTCTTTCCCAGCAAAGCTCCAAGGCCTTTTCTTTCGTTCTTTCAGACTGCCCCACCCATTCCCCAGCTCTTGGGAGTTCATTCCTCTTTTCCAGACCCACAGCACTTTCCCCCCTGCCACTGCTGGGTGTATTTGAGAGCAGACACCCTGAGGCTTTGGACTCAGGGATGTGTTTATGCAGCTTCCTTGCAGAGAATTCCCTGAATCCCTTGAGGTGGCCTTTTGGAGGGGAGGAGTGGCTCCCCCTTCATCTTTTGTAAAAGTACTGAGAACCTACTGTGTGTCAGATCAACGCTCAGTAGTTTTGTAATACACAGTTCTTAAGCCTCTGGTAACGTCCCCTCTTCCTCACTCTGGCTTGGCTGACCACTCTCTCAGATCTATGTGCATCCTTTTTAAGGGATGACAGAGGTCACTGGAAAGACCATAGACTTTGGTGGACACTCCCCTGCGTTCAAATTCTGACTCTAAAATTGGCCAGCTTTTTGAGATTGGAAGTCCTGATCTGATTTCAGTCCCAATTTTGGCATCTATAAAATGAGGATAACTACTTATGGTGTTAGGAGAGGCAATGTGTATAAAGCCTGTATCTTGATAAGTGGTAATCAGATTAATTGGTGATATCTTTAGGCAGAGACTGGGTCTCTTTTATCCTCAACTCTCTTAACAGAGTGCATTTGCCTACTTTTGGCATACATGTTTTAATTAAATTAAGTGGAAGCCAGAGCAACCTTTGGCTTTTTTCCTTGGGCAGAATCAATGCTTGTTGCCTAGCTTCTTAAATCACAATCCTATGGGGTGGAGTGGGGGGGTGGGGGTTTACAAAACTGAAAGTGAGGTTGTGAAATTTTTTGTTTAAAAATAAACGTATGATTTATTATCAACAAATATTTGATGATTTACATATTGTTTTATATCCTTAGGGTTATGTAAAATGGGGTCACAAGAGGACAAAGTTTAAGAAGCCCTGGCTTAGGGTTCGCCATCACTAAATATGGATGTTTTACAGTGAGGCCACAGAGCCTCATCCTGAGGGGAGCTTATTGTGGGTGAGACCCAGAAGCGTTGTTCAGTGGTCAATATCCTTAAGGCTTTCACAATTCACCCGACTCTCTGGTTTGTCCATCACATGTGAAATCAGAGCAAAAGCAGAAAGGCCTGGACTCTGAACCCTTCTCTGAACTCTTCTCTGGGGGCAGAGATGTGCATTTCTCATCTTGCTGGGTGTGATGTGTGTCAGTACTGGTGTTTGTGGGAAGGGTGCAGGTGGAGTGGGGTACAGAGGCAGCCCTTGTAGTGGATCTGGAGTAGGAGACTCTGGGTAGGGCTCAACTTTGTCCCATTTCAAGCCAGACAAAACTTGCCCTCTTTTGCTTCCAGAACTTTGGTTTGATGCGTGCAATTGTTCAATTGTTTACAGCAGGAAGGCATATGGCACCCAAACACAGTTTTTCTCTTTGGCATTTATTTTAGTGTCCCAAAAGCTAGAATCTGACCTTTGTCTTGGACTTTCATGTTGTTTCCTGTTTGATTTTGCATCTGTTTATATTTACATGTAGTTTGATGCTGGCATCCTCCCCCCTTCACAATTTTTTGTTTTAATTGTGAAATGCATAAAATGTCAAGGAGTATTAAGACTTACAATCATTTTGTTAATCAGTCTTCTTCCTGTTCTGGTCCTCTTGATTGAGGGAAACACTCCATCTAGTGAGAAGACTAATGAATCATTTTGGAGACTGGTGTAAATTGGTTCAGGAACCAATTTAGCCATCCTAACCTTTGTTGAGAGTTCATGCTATATTGTGCTTCTCTTGGCTAAAGCAGGTCACCACAAATATGTGATCTTCAAAGACTTGTGTTTTTATATATATGTAATGAAGTTTTAATTGCACAAAAGACTTTATATATATTATATATAAATTTTTCCCCCTTCTTCCAGTGCTGGAGATGAATTCTAAGGCTACCACTAAGCGACATTCCCAACCAGAACATAATGTTAATTAGAAATTTGAAAGACATATCAGAAAAGATGAAAGTCAGATCAGACCACATCTCATAAGTCCTATGTTCTCCTCAGAGGTAATTGCTATAGAAATATGTATGCCTCCCAAGCTGTGTCCATAAAGAAAATATATTATCTATGAAGGAGTGGTGGTTAGGGGGAATATTTATCTAAGTTGGTGTCATATTGCAATAGTTCACTTTTAAACTTTTTTTGTTGTTCTCTGCTGTGCTGGCGATCAAAATCAGAGCCTCATACGTGCAAGGCAAACACTTCATTGCTGAGCTACATGCCTGTCTCATAATGCATAGATTAATATTTAATTTAATTAACCATTTTTTTTAAAGCAAGGCTGAGGTGGAAGGGCCTTGAGTCATTCCCAAGAAGCTCTGGAGGCCATGTAGTGCCAGGGCTGTGACCCAGGGCTTCACAGATGCCAAGCACAAATGTACTCTACCACTTGAGCCACATCTGCGACCCCTTAATGTTTTACTGGAGTCAAATTTATCTTTTCCTTTGTGTCTTTGTTTTTTGATTCTTGTTTTAGAAAGGATCCATTCCCAATTCTTTATATTCTCATAAATTTTACATTCTGATTCATTGTGGGTCTATGTTTGTTTTATAAATCGTAATATTTTGCTTTACAAAAAGTAGTTTAAAACAATTGTGCAACCTTAGAGATTGTTTGCAAGAAGCATAGACCCTCTCAAGCTTGTTTACCTTGAAGGGAAGTTTGTTTTTAAGCATTAGAAGTGCCTCATGGGACTGCAGAGTTTTGAGTAAAGGCCTCAGCAGGACATCGCTAGAAGCTGGAAGTGATCAGGAACAAAGGCAGCTGCCTCACTCCCTCTTGCCTTCTCTTGCCTCTCTTTCTGAACGTTTGATCTGTGCTTTTACTCGCCATCATCACATAGGCCCCAGAGCCCAGCTTCAGCCCCCACAGTCACATGACCTTGCTGGTCCAGCATCTAAAGGTAACCAAGCCTGTCTTGTGTCCCACTTCCAAGTTGCTGGCAAGGAGGTGGATGGACCAGCCCAGCTCCTGGCCTCATTCCAGAAGGCGGGTCTCCACCCCTGTTTTCATCAGCAGAGGTTATGGAGGGAGAGACCCAGGCAGGGTAAACATGGCCACAGAAACCTGCTCTGTGGGAGGGGAAGGGCCTAGAAAACCCCTCACTACTGACCCTGCATATGTCCATGGCTATTCCACGTCATTGGAGCACAGTAGCTGATTCGGTAGCTTGTTCCAGGGAGAGGTTATGTGCTCACCCTATTTTGAGCCTCCCTGGTTATCCAGGTGCACATGAACCCCAGTTGAAACGCTGAGGTGTCTGGGGAACTTAAACAATGGATTGGAGAGCTAAAGGAATACAGCTCCACTTGGGAATGAATGCCAATTAGGTATTTGGGCTGTTGGCTGGGAAGTGCACACAAGGTCAGACCTGCAGATAGCCACACACAGGCAATAGATTAGTCTGGGGACTGCTCCAGGCCAGACCCTGTACATAGATATATGACTGAATAAAAGAGATACCCTTCCCCAGAGTTTACAGTCATGAGGAAGACAGAGACAGGTAAACAAGCAGGTTAGTAATTATACATTGTGATAAGTGGCATGACCCTTGTGCCCCTGGTCAAGGCCTTCTCAGAGATTTGGTCCTGCATCCTTACGTCTTCACATCCATACCTCCCCCTGAACAAGGTCATCCACACCCATGGCCTCATATTTCTCCCCTCTTTTGGTGACTCACACAGTTGTGCCTACAGCCCCGATCCTCATGTCTAGCCACTCGTTTGGCTGTGACATCTCAGTATATCTCAAACCAGGCTCTCGACTTCCCCCCTGGCTGACCCGTCCAGTGTTCCCTTCTCAGTGATCACTCCTCCTCCTCGGTTCTCTTACCCTTTGAAAACCTCCAACTTCCACATGTATATTTCTTTATCAGGGATCATAAGTTCATTTGTAAACTTTGAAAGGAGCATTAATAGTGAATAATGGTGTTGGGGTGCTCCAGGGGAAGGGGACAGCTTAAGTAAAGACAGTTCCAAGACAGTAAAAGAGCAACGCCAATGAGTGTAGCCAGGTAGGCAAAGGCTAGGTCATAGTCAAGCTTGAAGGCCGTGGTAGTGAGCTTATGTTTTTGTTTCTTTTTCAGATAAGCCACATGATACAGTTTCTGTTTTAAAAGATCATTCCAACTGCTCTCTGGGGACTAGATTGGAGGGGTAAGGAGAGGACCCAAAGAGGCCTTTACAGTACTTCATCGGAAAGATGATGATTTTTTTTTTCTTTATGGGCCACACCTGGCAATGCTTAGGAGCTGATCCTGGCTCTGCACTCAGGAATGACTACTGGCAGAGCTCAGGCGACCGTATGGGTTGCTGGGATCAAACCCGGGTCAGCCGCATGCAAGGCAAATACCCTGCCTGCTGTACTATCGTTCCG